ATATTTTAAGAATAAAATTTTAAATGTATCTGAGAGAATACTCATTTAAAATCGTTGAGGGAGAATAATGCTCCTTTGAAATCTAAATTCAAATACGGAATCAACAACTGGCAAAGAATATAAGACCAAAATCAAATGTGCACGAGATTTGAACATCAAAACCATATTAAATAGTGGGCCATAAATGATGCTTCAATCGCCACAATAAATCCCAAAGAGATAAAACTTTGACAACACACATAAGAGGATGGATCATCATTATTTCTTTTTCTAGTAAAATTGTTCTCTCAACTTTTGATTCCTAGTCAAAAACACTTTTTTCAATTTAGGTGAGTTCATTTTACTGATAAAATGTATAGAATATTAATCTAATAATAAAATACCTTATTCTCCAACTACATAATCTATGCATAAAATTATTAATTACAATGAATGTGTTTTTTTGTTCTGAAATGAATTTATATATGAAAAATCTATTGTACTTCTTCAATTTAAAAAAAAATTATTAAAACAATTTAATAAAATCTAGAACTAAAATTTAGAATTGTGCCAAATTTATGGAAAGGAAAACGAAAAAAAATCAATCATAATAATAAAAAGAAGAAACTAGGGAATCGGATTCGTATGATTTGGAGGGCATGCCGGTCATAAAGGGACAGATGGTCCCTAAAGGCTCGAATATCCTTCAAACAAAATCTTATTTTACTATTATTACTTTTTTATTTATTTTTGTGATTTTGTTTTGTTATTTCTTGTGGACCCACATTCTTATACCCAACCTAGTTCTAAAATTGGCCACCTTATTGGACAAAATTTGAAGCTTTGATTTTGGTTGTTGAGATTGAAATTAATGAATTGAAAGGTGACATATTTCTAAATAAACGGACATATTTTGGGGACCCTTGATAAACAAGGCAAAGATATAAAAAAAAGAATTATATGATGTGGTTATAAAAAATCAAAATTTCCTTTTCAAAATTTTTTATGTTTTCATAAATGAAAAGTTTGTTATTAAAAGCTTTCTTGCAAATCTTTGTTGAAGATTGTGAGAAAATAATTTATTACATTAATCACATAAGACAATAACATATGGCTAATAGAGAAAAGGTAGTGAAGCTATTCCTCACTTGATAAAATAAGAAACCTCCTTTGTTAATGAAAAAAATAGATATACATACAATCATTAAAACACATGCATGAACCATTAAAAAAAGTTACTTGAAAAATTTATGAATCCTTAAGTCATTTTCAACTTATGATAAGTGGCAATCAAAGTATACAGCCAATGTCCCGTACCCTTATCTCTTGTTTTTGTCAATATATATGCATGTGAACATGCTAAACTCATCCTAAATACGAAGGAATTAATGAAATATGATGAAATATCCTACATCAAGTAAACATGGTTATAGGTACCAAATTTGCTTGATATATTATTATTATTATTATTATTATTATTATTATTATTATTAATTAATCTTTAAAAAAGGAAAAAAAAGTAAAAAAAAAATATGCATGTTTCAACTCTGGCAGCTGAAATTTTTTCCCCTAATAATGCCTAACTTGACAACTTGAAATTCGATGATCAAAAGTCATTGGACAAATCTTCATATTTTCCACAAAAAAAATTCCAAGATATCTAAGATTTAAATCCTAGAAGCTTTATAAATAAAGTTAATTTCTACAAAACAAATGAGGGAGAAAATGGTGAAACTTAGGGATTTTGAAAAAAAAAAACAAGAAACACATAAGCTATATAAAAAAAAAAACGTATTCCTCTTAACGAGGAATGAGCAACAAACATAAAAAAAAAAAATTCAAAAGCAAAAAAAAAAAACTTATTGGGAATGAAATTCTCAATTTATGAGGTTTGAGATTCTTTTTTAAAAAAATCTAATTTTAAGAGAGTGTTTAGAAAACAAAAAAAAAATTAATTTAAGATTTTTTGGAAATTTTTGAAAATTTTTTTGGTTTGTCAGAAATTAAAAAAGTTTAAAATTTTCAACGACTGTTGAATTTTTTTACCACAAAAAACTAAAAAGTTGGTCGAAATCTGAGAAACTTTGAATTTTTCAATGCCGTTGAAGATTTCAACTATCGGTGCACGGCGATGACCAACCATAATCTAGGTTGCCATGGTGACTGGCAAGAGAGGCTGGGTTTTTAGAGAGAGATGCTCTGAGGATAGAGAGAGGGAAAATAAAAAATAAAAAAATTGAAATAGGCCTTTTATAGGCACTTCAAAACGCGCCGTTTTAGACGTCTGAATCGCAACTGACCCAAGTAGGATTCACTTGTCAACCCTTGAGCCGACCCGACCTGTTTACCAAATTTTCTCTTTTTTTATTTTCTATTTTGATTTTGATTTTATTTATTTTATGTTGATTTTTATGTTGATTTTTTATGATATTATTATTATTATTATTATTATTATTATTATTATTATTATTATTTTATTACTAGTAATAATTCTTTTAGAAATAAATAAATAAAATGAAAAAACAGAACTAAAATAAAATATGACTTTAAAAATATAATATAGAAAAAATTAATAATAATAATAACTATTTAAGAAAAATAAAATTTTATTGCAAGCAAAAATATTATTTAAAATTTTTAGAATTTCGTAAAAAAGTCAGGATAATCTTAAAATTTTTTTTAATAAATTTTGAAAACTCACCAAAGAATTGAGATATTCTTAAAATCGTTTTAATAAATAAATAAAATATTTTATGATGAAATTTTAAAATTTTGTGAATGGTTAATTTTTTTGAAATATTTTTTAAATAATGATTTTTTATAAATTTCATCAAAGCATTTGAAATTTATAGAATACGAAAAATAATAATAATAATATATATTATATTATTATAATTTCATAACTAAGAAATATTTTTATTATATAAATAAATTTTAAAAAATTAAATTTAAATATAAAAAAGATTATACTCCTGTGTAGGTATCAAAAGACCTATTATCAAATTTATAGGATTATCAAAATTATAGGTTAAATCGAATGGACGAATTGAAGGTGCTGATACCTTCTTCACTCGTAACCGTATTCTCGGATTTAATTTTGATTTCGTAAACTTAAACTTCGTTTAGTAAATCTTAATTAATTTAAAAAATTTTACTAAAAGATGATATTTTAGGTGACCAATCGTATTTTACAAAAAAAAATGGTGACACACTCCAAAAATTTTCTTCAAATCTAACGAATGAATCTTTCCGAACTAAAAATCGTTATGACAATAGTCATACAAAATCAAAATAATTTAAAAACTAAATAATTAAATTGTAAATTTTTTATATGAAGTCAAAGAAAATAATTTAAAGTTTTACATATATAAACTTATTGATTTCAATCTAAAACGATTTGAACTCAAATTAATTCTAATTTAAATTGATTCGACTCAAAATTATTTAACTTTAAAATGATTATAATTTTTCTTTGACTCTAATTCAAAATAATTTGAGTTTTTCTTGATAAAAATGATTTAAATTGAAAATGATTTAATTTAAATTTAATCTAATTTGTTAATTTGACACATCTAGTTACATCATCTTAATTATCAATTACTATAATTTATTTTTTAAAAAACTTACTATTCTCTCTATCTCATTGGGTTTGTCCCCTCTTTTTTTTAGGATATCCTAAAATTATATCTCTTTTTTTAATATTCAAAACTCTTATTTTTTATATTTTAAAATTATTTTAAAAATGTTTTTTACATTTTGATATTAAAAATTTTAAGACTTTAATTTTATAAAAAAGTTTAAAATTTAATATTAAATACATTAAAATCAATTTTTAAAAATTTCGTAAAAATCAATATATAATAAATATTTTAAGATGAAGAGAATATAGCTTTTAAATAAAGTACTAATATAATTATTTAAAACTTAAAATATGAAGACTTAACTAATCTTGTAAGATAAACAAAAAGATGCGTGATAAAATAAAATATACAAAAGGTATTCAAAATAAAAAATATATGATTTTAAATTAAAAGAAAAAACAATGGAAAGAAACTATCGAAACCGTGCGTTTTGTCGTGTCATGAGTGAAGGAGGAAAAAAAAAAAAAAAAGAAGGGGATGTGTGAGTAAGCTTAATAATTTTAGACATGATATGAAAATGATATGAAAAAAATTTTATATATATTTAAAAAGTATGTGTTTGTATTTATTTGTGTTAATATAAATTTTGACACGATATAATTCGTATCGTATATATGTTGATTTATTTAAATACATGATACGATATAAATAATATATTTAATTTAATTTTATTATATAAGTATACGTTTAATATGTTTAATATATTTTTTATATTTATTTTAATTTAAAATGAACATATAAAAATTATTTTAATTTTTAATTTTTTAATTATGATACTTAATTAGTTATTTAATTTCATATAAAAATTATTTTAAATATTTAATTATGATACTTATTTAATAATTATTATAACATTATTTTTATATTATTAATATAAATACAATATAAATATTAATATTAGTCTTATACATTATTATTTTATTCTTTAATTTTTAATAGTTTATCATTTTGAATTTAATTCTAAAAATTAATATAGTTATGTAATATAAATTAAAATTTAAATATATATATTAAATACATATTAAATGAATATTAAACTTTTTATTTTTTTAATATGTAAGTATTTTTTATATCATTAATTAATCAAATTTATTAAGATGTAAATTATGTATATTTTATAGTTATTTATTATTTTAATTATATTTTTATATATATTCATGTTAATTATATCTATTCATATATATTCACATATATTCATATTATTTATATTTATTTATATTATATTTAAGTAAATTAATTATATATATTAATCATATCATATTATATATAATATATATTAAATATATTATATTTAATATTTAAATATATTTTATAATTCGTGTCATATTTTTATTTTAATAAATTATATTATTATATGTGTCAATCGATACAAAATACGAATTATCGTGTGTATGGGCGGGGATTACCGGCAAACAGCGGCATTTGCGCGCGTCCAACGTGTCAGCTTTGACTCACAACAGTACCTTTTCACTCTCACCTCGTTGACTCCACCTGCTCCACCGCGTCACCCCTGCGCTCGTGTCTACTGTTTGCTTAGCTTCTTCCCTCTCTATCTGTCGTGTAGTTGCCCTCGTTGGGTCCCACACTTTCCCTTCCAGCTTTGTTTTTTAACTTCCTTTGCTAACATACGCCGTCAAATTTCTAATATGCGCCCATATTTATTATTTTTTTAACTGTTTCCAGACCGAGAGGATAACAGAACAGAGTAAATGTTAGAAGCAGAATTAATATAATTATCCGAGTTCGAAAATTTCATTTAAATCTAATTTGATCCAATTAATTTGATTTAACAAAAAAATCAACAATCTACTCAAAGCAAACGCGATACATCCTGAATCCAAATTAACATAAATTCACAATTTACTCCATCTTGTCCAAAGATTTACGAACTAAATATTATAAGTAACGAAAACTAACGTACTTATATGATCTAAAAACCAAAGTAAAAAATAAGAAAAAATAAAGCATTAATCTAACTAATTACAAAAATTTTGGTTCCAACATTTCTTCTTGAAACATTTTGTTTTTTATTTTTTTTTTGGGTGTGTAATTTATATTTCTTCTACGACATGTTAACATGAACATAAGCATTTTTTGTGGATTTACAAATAGGGCAAATGAGAAGACTAGACTCACAAACAGTACACAAGCATAAATGCCTGCATGGTAACAGCAACACACTCGATTCTTCCTTCCTACAATTCCTGCACAGCCTGCTGTCTTCTTGGTCACCATTATTGTTATTTTCCTTCAATTTTTTCTCCGCTCCTTCCTCTGCTAACGTGCGCCTCTCCACTTCCCAACTGCTGCCACAATATGATTGCGCATCGTCAATCTCGTCTGACGCAGCCTCCTCGAATCCTACGCCACGGGTGTGGTCCTCCTTAACCTGCGCTGCAAGGACTTGTTCTAGGCTGGTCCGTAGGGCGTTGGCCGTGGCCTCATTGGTTTGAGCCAAGTCTCTCCAAATTTGGTTCTCTATACAGAGTGACTTCACCCTTTCTTCAAGTGCCCAATTTAATTTTCCAATTTTCTCAATTTCTTCCTCTTTGGCTCTTACTTTCTTCATTACTCCTTCTTCAATGGCCTCCATTATTTTCCTTGCTTGCCTTTTCCTATTTTCCTCTATTTCCATCTTCACTTTATTCATCTATAAAGAAAACCCAAAAATCAATCAATATTAAAGTTTTAAAAAATAATTAATAAAATTAATTCATCCTACTTTTTTATTATAAAATGCAGAATCGGAAAATAAATAAATAAATCTTGAAATCAAAACTTTCAATTGAGATATGTTAAACTGCCACAACAAGACAGGCTTAAGATTTTGCAAATTTATTATATTACAACGGTTAAAACTTTAAATTTGATTTAAAATGTATTAAAAATAGAAGAAAACTAAGGGTTACATTTTTTTTATTTAAATTTATCATATATTAAATTTTGACTATTGAAATTAAGAATTCAATTATATGATGATTATTTATTGATAGTTACATATTTTTAATCCAGTGAGTTTTCAAGTGATTTAAAGAAAATGTTCAATCTTTCATGAAAATCATTATTAGTTGATTAAGACTTCATTTCAAAGCACAGAAAAGGATTATCACTGCGCTAGAGTATTAAAAACCGTTTTACCCAGCAGGAAGCGTAATATTAAGAGAGACTTACATGTTGGGAGATGAGGTGATCAATATCCAATTGTTGCTGCTCCATATGAAGAGAAATATCATGGCCAAGAAAAGAAAAAGGAGAGCAAATTTGGTTGATGTTGTTGTTGTTGGTGTTATGGGGTTGTTGAAGTGGACAAGGGAAATAAAGGATTGGATTAATAGAATCTCTCGAACGCTTCCTCGGTAACGGAAGATTGTTGTTCGTCAAACTACTCTCTGATTTCATCGCTGCTGCAGCCTTTTGATGGATTGAATCAGTAACCAAAGAGTTGTATAAAGGAAGCAATCCATCTGTTGCCGCCGTTGTTGTTCCTAATAATGGTACCCCATATCCCATCTGGGTTTGAAACATATTCCCGTTTGCTTCAATGGGATTCATCATTTCCCTGTAAAAAGATTTTAGGAAAAAAAAAAAAAAAAACGACGTTAGACGACTGACGTACAATGTTTCGTTTAAGTATTTGATTCAATATTATTTAAAGAATGGGGTTTTCAGAAAGAACGAACCTGTTTCCTAAGAATTGAGGTGGGAAGAGATTGATATGCCTAGCTTCAACAGCCATAGATTGTAGAAAAAGATTGCGTTTGAGTTTGGTTTGCTTTGGTTTTTAAGCAGGGGATGAAATGAAAAAGAAAGAGACAAATAAGAGGGGCATGCAACAGAAGTGGCAAGGCTGTATGGTGGGGATTATAAAGTTTGGTTCGGTTTAGGGATAGAGTGAGAAACGGGAAAAAAAAAAAACAGATGAAGTTAGTTCGTAATTCTAGCAACTTTATAGGGGTATTTCCGGAATAGAAAAATCGGGTTTACCGTTTCCTAACTTAACTGGCTGTGATGAAAGAATTAATAACTTACAGTCAGGGTATCTGCCACGTGTAATTCCACGTAAGCAGCTGATTGTTTCCCCTCTCCTGAAACAACTTGAAAGAGGTGGGGTCCAGACTACAAGTGTGGGACAGGGTGAGAAAGGGAGGACAAAGTAGTGGGGCCCACGTGCAGATTGTCAAAAGATGAAAACAACAAGTGAAAAAAGGAAACTAATTAGGCGGAGCAGGCGTTGAGAAAGAGAGAAATGGGGGAGGAGTGGCGTTCCTTTGGCTTTTTTTGCTCATTTTGATTGAAATTGATTCCACGATGATCGCATGGGAAACGTAAGCGTCATTTTTTTGGGGTCTATTCTGCCACGTGTCTAAATATCCATCCTTCTTATTATTATTATAAAAAAATCAACCATAACCACAAAAATTTTAGCTTAAATACAAATTTATCGTTTCATTAAATTGGTATCTAGGCATGGAAAACGTAGGGACAAATTGTCCTAATAAATTAATGCAGTGGGGCCACATCTTCAAAAGATGAGTGAAACTTGCCTCAAAATAGAATATAAATTTATGGGTGGATATTTGATTTCAAAATGAAACATTTAATGTAACTATGTTTCTTAATCTACATTGTCGTACACATACATTTGAGGTGCCATTAGTCTTCAAAAAACGTGTTTAATGTTTAATAATTATCTTTACTTAAAGTCAAGCTTTTAGTTAAATACTAGAAGGCAAGGGCTTTGAAAAATTAAAAAGTGAACATTCAACTAAAATTCGTCATAAAAAAAATATATTACTACTACACATGGGTTCACACTTGCTATTAATTTAGCAAATTTATTGTTATTAATTGTTGGATTTATGTGTGTTCATGTGAGAAATTTTAATAACGTGTTGTAACTTAATAATTAATTGAGCATACTATGAGTTTTAGAAACCATTTATATAACTTCTTGTTTGATGAAAATAGTTTTCAAAGAAATTTTGAGTTTGAATTTTGATGAATCATAGATTTTTTTTGGGATAAAAAAATTAAATACAAGTGCTTCATTAATAGAAATAAAAAAGATACACTTCTAAATGTTTAAAGAAACTAAACAAATTAAAGTCTAGATGGTTGACTTGATACTTCAAGTTTCTATATTTATACATAATATGAATATACATAATTTTAAAGGTGTTATTGATTTTTTTTTAGATTAAAAAAAAATCAAATTCAACATTTTTTATTTGAGAGCTTCACTAGGTTAAAGGCTAGGATACTTTATAAAAACTTATTAGATTTCAACTATATATGCAAAAAGTAAGTATGTAGATGTAATTCTATATATACTAGAAAAACTAGGTTTAATTGAATCTCCTTCCTTTTAAAAAAAAATTATATAAAATATATTTTAAAATCTAGTATTATTAATTTGGTTTAAGGATATGTGCATGAATCCCTTAATCAAATTGAGTTGGAATTTTCCCTTTCACAAAATAAAAAATAAAAAACTATTTTTAATTATTGTTTTCCAAGTCCCTTCTTTGAGGTCTCTTTGGTTTGATCATATTATAGCCGGGTATGAAGATGTGCCTTAACCAAAACATATAGATTTGAGTTTCTTGATTTAAGACACAAGGACAAACACAAACAATTTTATGTCACATAGTAACACTAATGTAGTAATTGATGCTTCCAAGGCAAATCAATCCATCTTGGTTAATTAATAAACTTGATTTTTGACATATATATATATCTGACTGTTTTTCACTATAACTTTGCATTTTAAAAATAAGGTTATTTAAGCAAGATTATACAACTTAGCTTCATTTAAGGAGACAAAGATGACAATTTGGGTTTTGCCAAATGCTAATTGAAGCTGCCGACAAAGGTTTTTCAGATGTTGTACTTATTCCTGGTAGCATTGATCGGACATTTTGAGGAGAGATAATCTTATATTCTAATATAAAAATATAATTTAATTTATAGGTTATTAAAGTTTTAATTATCACACAGTACTACTCACAGGGTAATTTTATCAAATTAATTTATAATTTATAAGATAATGTTCCTTGCAAGGCAGGCCGTCGAGATAAGAGAAAAAGGCTACCACCAGACAACTGCTTGGCAAAGAAGTAATACTAGAGATTAGATAAAGAGAAATGCTAAATTAAATGTGAAAATTGTTGCAAAATATAATTGCATAGAAAAGATAGATGTACTCGTTACTAGGAGAGAGTATAATATGTAAAAGAGATTGATGGATTCTTTGTTCATTGTACTTTTCTTCAACTCTCTTTTTTCGTTTTCTAGCTCTATTATTGCCCACAAAACTCCAATCCTATGAACATTACTCTCAACCAACCAAGCACCGAAATCATAGAAGGAAACACCAAAAAAAACAAAAGTATATTATTATAATGGCGATCAGCTTTACTTTAATGTTTAAAAAAAAAAATTCCAGTGAGGCTTTATCTTAACAGAAAGGCAATTCTAAAGCCTTAATGTTTCGGTTTTAAATTCCGTCGTATGTAAATTCGATCTAATTTTATATTAAATTTATTTAATTATATGTTAATTTATTGATTCAATTTAATTTATTAATTTTTATATAAAATATAATATTTAATTATAATTGTAATTAATTATTACTCGTAACTTTATAAAAAATAATTAAATGCTTAGGGATTATTCTTGAATGCATGTTAGATTTATTCAATTTTATCTCTTGTATATTTTCCTTGACCTTCATCTTCTCTCTCCGTTTTATCTCTCTTATCAAATATAACGTTACTGAAACGCTCGATGTACGGGTTCTGTTTGAGCTATCATTATTTTTTGTACCGGAAAATACAAGAAATAAATTCATAAATGTTACGGCATATAATAGTAAAAAAAATATATTAATTTTTTTCTTAATTTTCAATAGATAATTAAAAATATTTTAGTTATTTGTGTTAATCTGACATGTCAAATTAATCTGATATGTCAGGTCAGTCTAACATTTTCAGTGCTACCTCAACTTAACTCTGTTCTAATTGCTTTTTTTTTATCCCCCAACTTACCTATAAATATGAAGATTTAGACAATATGAAGTCAAGTTTATCTAATTCATATCTTTTTCTCCTTTTTAGTTTCTCATTTCCTTTATGACTTGATCTTTATTGACTTGCACGTCGAAATGCAAACGTAGATAATATCCCTTATCTTTATCTCTAACCGTCTTTTTTTATATTTAAAGGAATACCCTCAGGTCGGAGCTTGACATCAATATTTGACGCGCCAGGTAAGGGATCAACATTTTCATATCAGTTGACCACAAAATAATGCCACTATGAAAAAAAACCTAAAAGGAAGGAGAGACAGCCGCCCTAGTTAGAACATAAACTCATCAAAGTTAGCATTCTATCTACCCAACTCAACCACATGCGGGTCCAATCATAGAGCAACTACAAGCCCTCAAGCAAATGCTACAAAGGATAATCCCACCATAAGTTTCTAAAGTGCCAGACTTAGTCACATTGGGTTAAAAAGCTGTTGTCAGGCAATCGAGCTACGAAAAAATGAAAACTTCATCTGCTTCCAAAGAAAAAGAACACACCAATCCAACTTCTCACCACCCTAGCTACAATTCTACATATGCCACAACCAAAAGTCTAAACAAACAACTATGAACTTCAACCAAATAGAGATTCAGAAGCTCAGATGTAAGCCATGGAAAAAGAGTTGAAAACAAAACTGTAGCATTGAAGGATGAGCTCAAGTTCTTAGAGACCTCAACCTTTACTAAGGAAATTGATAGAACCATGCCTCATAAGGGATTTAAAATGAAAATCTTGGAGACATATGAAGATATTTCTGACCCTTTGATTATTTGAAACTTTATAGAACTAACATGATGATACAAATGGTGGACGAGGCCTTGATGTGCAAAGGTCTGACCACTATGTTGAACGACGTAACTTTATCTTGGTATAACAGTCTGGAGCCAAGGTCAATCACTACTTTAAAAAAACTCAGCTACTTATTCCTATCTTGATTCGTAAGTAGTCGAAGAGCTAAAAAAACAACCCTGAACCTGATATCAATTCATCAAGGGTGAAATAAAACTCTAAAAAGCTATGTTACGCATTTTAACGTGAAAGTTTTTTAGGTTAAAGACCTAGAACAAATAGTCGTTGTTGCCACACTGACTAGTGGACTCAATGATAAGGAGTAGCACTTAAAATTGACATTGTCATTGGAACCGCCCAAAACTCTGGCCAACACCCTACTAATAGCAAAGAAATATATCAACGCTAAAGCTATAATGAAAATAAACCAATGTGAGAGAGGCTCATCCCATCTCCTCAGTGGTTAAGGTGAAAGAAGCCTATCCCCTTCTTCGATTGTAAAAAAGGTAAGAAATTCTATAATCCTCTCTTAATAGGGAGACAACACAAGGCTAGAAACTTTAGTAAAAAATGAAGTTACTCTACACTAAACACCTTTTGAGAGAGGATTCTGATGTAAATCAAAAAAAATCTCGATCTCAAATGGCCTAAGCCACTGAGATAGAATACAAAATAGGATCTAACAAAAAATGTGCCTTTCATCAGGACATCGACCATAATACTGAAGACTGTATCAATCTGAAAAATGAGATTAAAGCTTTAATAAGGTGAGGTTAGTTGAAAAGATTTGTTAGATAGAGAAGACAAGTCCAATTTAGAAAAAACTATAGAAATAACCATAGAGCGCCTACCTAGGGTAAAGAAAAAAGATCAAATCAAGGAAAAAAAGATGCCCAAAGAGAATAGTTGAATTAGAAAGAGGATCGAGTTAACAATAGCAGGCTAATTATTGAAATGATTAATATGATCACAGGAGATAACTCCATCTTGGTGAAAAAAAGGTTTAACCTGAGCATTGTAATGGCAATAGACACCTTGGCTAAAAAAGAAAAAGACTTGAGAGACGAGCTAACCTCGTTCAGCTTAAAAGATTTGGAAAGGATCCAACACCCACATAATAAAGCCATAGTGTTCAAAGCCTTAGTATATAACTATGTAGTCAAAAGAATCTTATTTAACAATGAGAGTTCTATTGACGTTAT